AAAAGTATGGAAAGATTAAAAAAGGAAAAAAAAAAAGAAAATTAAAGAAAAAAGAAAAGGTGTATAATGTCTTCTTGTAAACTAGCTAAAGTGGTTGAATTGGAAAAGAGACTTGCGTTTGATTTTTACTTAAAGATATATTTTTATAGAAATACTATGTTTATTCTGTTTAAACAAAATGATTGTAATAGAACCCTAAAACTAAGGATCGTTATTTTAACGTCTCTCAAGAGATCCTTATATAGTTTACTACATATATTATGCATGTATTATGTACTCAATGGTACTCTTGTACATGAAAAAAAAAGAGATAAAACTGTAAATTTATTATACAGTATAGGAGGATACTTGTAGCTGTTGTGTATGTACAGAATTGACCTAATTTGAAATCAAAGTCTTAAATAAATGTTTTGCATCCTATAGTGTTATTTTATTATTTTCTTAAGTTAATATTGATATCAAAAGAATATGATATATGTAAAAATGTATTCGATACAATAATCTGATTAATTTGATAAAACTAATTGATATAGATAGTCACTTTTTAACTAAACCATTTTTTATGACTTTTATTAAATATAATCGATCACTCATTTGAGTCAATTATTAATAAAGGAAGATTCTCAATCCGGAAATTCAGAAAATTATAAAACTTTAGGAATATGTACAGCATATATAGGTATGTATTATACACATTATTTTTTCTTCCCAGATTTACTCTAAGATGGATAAAATTCATTCCTGAAAATTTGACTATTTGACGATTTTATATTGTAACTCACAAATTGTAAGTGATAAAAAAAATGTTGAGACAAAAGATATTTCTTTTAATCATTTTTCAATTGTTTATGTAATGAGAACAAAATTATAAACAAAAATGTTAATATGTTATTCATTTTTTTAATAAAATCTTAATCGATAGTTTAAATATCTATGTTCTTTTTTTTTTATATAATAAAAATACAAATTATATCTCTCGACAATCAAAGAACTTTTAAATCCCATTGTATCATATACATAACGCATAATGAGCAGTGCTTTAACATTTATAAATGTAAAATTAATTCATATTATATACTTTTGTCTCTCATTACACAATAGTAATATACTATATGAAAATAAAGGAAAAGAACAGAATTATTAAATATAACTTATTAGAACTTTTTATTTTTAACATAATTAATTATCGAACTTTCCTTTTATTTTCTCACAAAATAGGTGAAAATAATGCTGTAGCAGTTTAATAAGCAATTCAAGTACAGTTAGGTAACTTTGAATATATATATATAATGTGAATGTTATTCTTCATGGTAATGAAAAACTTCACAAAAATGTTTGAAATATAGAAATTTGTTACATTACATACATCATATGATAGCTGTAGATGATCGCTGTATATAAAACCAACAAGAGGGATGAACGAAATCTTATTATTAAAAAGTGAAATTTATTGGATTTTCGAATTTATTCGGTCTTCTATTAATACATACACTTTTATATAAAATGCATAAGCAAAATATTTCGTAATACTTGGATAAAGAATGTAGATTATAAATAAGAATTTGTAATTTAATTAAATTATTATGTCCATGTAGATCAATGTCATAATTAACAATATTATAAGATTGGAAAATTTTTTTTACAAAGTTTTCCATTAATAGAAATCATTTACATTAAATAGTTATATCATTCCTGTAGTTTTATTTGACATTGTAAAAATTTCAACATACTAATTAAATGATATACCATTTTGTAATGTAGATGAACAGTTTATGAATTCAATAATAAAACCATCTGAGATCTCACATTTGATAGATATATTTGTTATATTAGATATATTTATTGAACAGTTCTTTTCTTAATTTTCCAAATGTAGATGCTATTATATAAACATTCTTACAGTTGAAATAACGATTGTTGTACGTACAAATCAAAATTATCATTTTGTTCCTTGACAATAAAAAATTCCATAAAAACGTTAGTATAATATAAATGTATAATATATTATAACTATATTATACATTTATAGTAGCTGATTATAGTAGCTGATTTTGTTTCAGCTAAAATATGAAAATTTCATTAACATTGAATACAATTTTTATTCCAATATGTCCGATGAAATTTTACGTTATTAATAAACGTCTAGCATTTAATTCTATTATAAATAAGATATTTATATTATACATATAAATATAATTATGTATAATAAATTGTTTATATATTCTCTACGTATATACGCAAAGTTTCATAATTTTTTGAATTTCCAAATTACCGATCTTATAATAAGATTGGAATTATTCGAATATTGAATTTATCCTTTTGTTCTTTAAATTTAAAATAATAAATAGTCTGTAAGAAATTATATTTCTAATTATAATATTTTTTTAGAACAACGTTTCTTAAATTATATTAAACGAAAAGTCAATGAAAAGTGTCCCGTAAAAAATAATGTGAATTAATTTCATTATTTTCATATATGTTTTGTTTTACACAATTAAAATTTGAGGATAATATTTGTTTTGTTTCCTTAATTCTTATATTTAATTGTTTAATTTATTTTTTATTAATATCTGTTTACCATATAAAATAAACAAGATGTTCCGTTAATGTTTTAGGATTTGCGAAGACGTAGGAAAAATTTGGAAAATGCTGTCATAAAAGATGACATATACTACATTTTATGACGATATTATGAAATTTGCAGGATAGGGTTAGAAATAATCCTGGCATTTCTTTTTTTTTTTTTTTTTTTTTTTTTTTGTTATTTTCTGTTATTTTTAAATATAATTTGTCAACAATATGTGTAATTTTTAATATAGGTTTTAAAATGAGCGGGTTTTTCAATAGAAGACAACATTATTATCCTCACATTCCATTAGTTGGCGCTGTTTCTACATGTTCTTTCAACGAATCAGCTGATTGTATATACGATTTATACAAGTTGATTATTAATCTAATAAGATTAATACTAATGAATATAATTTAAAACTTGTTTTCAAATTTATATCACACATTGTGAAGATATTTTTATTCCACAACAATGGTACGAATTGTATATTTTATTATATTTCTAATGATGATTTTCAATGTAAATTGTAAAGATTTTGACGTTGATATCAATGGATATATTCTTTATTGTCCTTGTATGGGTAAGATTTTATTTTATTTAATAAAGTATTTATCATTCAAATTCTTTCTTTCTCTTATTATTTATTTTAATTACGCCATCTTTTTTTTTATGTCAGGCCGATTTGGAAATCAAGCGGATCATTTTCTCGGTGCATTAGGTTTTGCTAAAGCTTTGAATCGTACATTAGTTTTACCACCATGGGTTGAATATAGAACAGGAGAAACAAGATCTGTAAGTTTTTGAATATATGTTGCGCATATTTTTCAGAAAAAAGTAGAATTAAAAATATTTATTATCTTATACTCAGATACAAGTTCCTTTTGATACCTATTTCAATGTTTCAAAATTACAAGAATGTCACAAAGCAATGTTGATGCATGATTTTATGGATAATTTAGCACCAACGATATGGCCACTAAGGGAAAGAGTATGTAAGTTTTCAATGTTAAAAGTATAACGAATAAAACTATATTTTAAAGTTATATTCTTTTCTAGCATTTTGTTATTCGCCACGTGGCAAAGGTGAATCTTGTAATGCTAAAGAAGGCAATCCATTTGGTCCTTTCTGGGATACTTATAACATAGATTTTGTAAAATCAGAATTTTATGGTCCATTACATTATGACGTATATCATACTGATATGGCAATTCAATGGAAACAAAAGTATCCATCTAAAATATGGCCAATAATAGCATTTACTGGTGCACCTGCTAGCTTTCCTATACAATTTGAAAATAAAGAATTACACAAGTGTTTAGAATGGAATGAATCGATACAAAGAAAAGCAAAAGCATTTGTGAAGAATGTTTTACCTAAAGGAGCATATATAGGAATTCATTTGCGTAATGGAATTGATTGGGTATTATATTATTTTAATATTATATTATAAAAATCAGATAAATAATAATAATAAATATTCTAAATATTCTAAATTAAATTATTGATATTTTTGCATAGGTACGTGCTTGTGAATATACATCAATGACTCCAAACCTATTCGCTGCTCCACAGTGTTTAGGATATCGTAATGAACGTGGTAAAGCAACAACTGCAATGTGTTTACCATCATTCGACGTGATACTACGACATATTAAACGTATCATTCGAAATAATAACGATGTTAGATCAATATTTGTTGCCTCTGACAATAATTACATGATTGAAGAACTTACAAATTCTCTGGCACGTATGCAGGTAAAAATATATTATCTAACAAACTTGCATTGTCTTTCAATTATTTTATTTGAATTATTTTATGGTCATTGTTCTCAAATTTTTATTACAGGTGCAAGTTTTTCGACAAACAGATCCAGTTTCTCCTCATTTAGATTTAGCTATTTTAGGAAGAGCAAACTACTTTATTGGAAATTGCATATCTTCCTTTTCGGCTTTCGTAGCAAGAGAAAGAGATGTTAAAGGATATCCAACATATTTTTGGGGCTTTCCACCAGAAAGATCATCACCTTCTATCTCTCGCGAAGAATTATAATGATTAATTTATAACCGGAAAAACATAAAATATTTATTAAGATGACGCTATAGCAAAAATTTTTTAATTGTTTTATACTCATTTTTTAATAAAATGTAATAACAGTTTTTATATCATTCGTCTTATTTATAAAAAAAAAAAAATTGAAATAATTTTTCATTCTGATTAACTTCTTCCTTATTATTTTTTCATCGTATATGATTTTTATAATGCGCGCCATTGAATCCGATGAATGCGCATGCGCGCAATTGTAACACTATCGTTCTTTGTTTGAGCAACTTTACACAGATTGGATATGGCTCGCCGTTCGTATGGCTAACATTTTATCTGAAGAGATAAACAGCTAGTGTGTCGGGTAAGGTTTGAATTATTCCTATAATTTTAAACGTCTTCATTTTTCATTGGTCGATAACATTTCAAAAATTATTCTAAACATAATTATGTGTACGTTAAGTGTTTGTGATTTTGAATCATGCGTTTATTATCTAACCAAAAAAAAAAACACTATACGGAGAGAGAAACAAGATAATGAATGTACATGTACTTGAACATTCATACATTAAAACTAAGAGAGAAAGTTTGTCGAGTTAACTGAGCTAATCCAAATTATATTTTTAATGTACTTTTAGGTTATTAAGAAAATAATTAGCGATGCAATGTATCAAGCATTTATCAATGGATACCGTTTGGTTGAGGTATCGCATGGCAGACCATACTATGTTTATTGTGTCGAATTATTCGAGACAGACAGTGGCATTCGATATTTCAGCGAGAGAAGATATAGCGAATTTAGCGCGCTACATCGTACGGTATGTTTTTCTTTTTTTTTCTTTTCTTTTTTTTTTTCTTCGTATACTTATGTCTTCTTTTTTTGCTTTTTGCAATTGTGATGTACGTCGTGGAATAAACTTAAAATATATATTGAATAATTTTATAATTAATTTATTACTTTTTACGGTACCTTTGTGAATATCATTAAGGATTATAATATTTTCTTTTTTTTTTTCTTTTTTTTTTCTTTTTTTTTTTTTTCTTTTTTTTTTCTCGTAAAGATCGTTAGTAACTTTATTTTCTATAGGTATTTAATTATTTATGCCTTATTATAGCTGAAGAAGAATAGCACGAATATTGCTCCATTTCCACCAAAAAGAGTTAGGAATTCTCAACCTAAAGTACTCGAACAAAGACGAGAAGCATTAGAGGCGTATATTCAGAAAATGTTGAAACTCCCAGTTGCAAAACAACAGGTACTTAATTTTTTAGGTATCGAAGGTCGTCCATCTGGTGCAACGGAGAAAAGGTAATTATTTATATAAGATATTTTGTATTCGATAAATTGTATAATAATTTTTCTAATATGAATTATTTTTTAGAGGACAAAAACAAATTAATGATTTGGGACATATTCATCCAAGTTCCTTAGGACATCATCCTGTATTAACTTTTCATCGTGATCCTTACATCCATGTAAATAAGAATACAAGTCTTCCAGATATTGTAACAAATGGTGTTCTTTTAGGGTTGTACAAATCTTAAAATATATCTTCAATTTATTTTGAATAAATGAAGTTTTATATTTTGCAAAGTCAATAGAAAATGATAGAACTGATGAGAATCTCAAAATTCAACAAGGATCAAAGATTTTGTGATATATATATATATATGATGCTTCGAAGTAAACTTTGTTATGAAGAAAAAAAATGTAGCTTACAAATATCATTTAGCGTCCATAGAAATATATATATATATATATATATATATATATATATATATATATGCTTGTATAAAGTATATTTATGAAAAAAAAGAAGAAACTTTTCAGATACGTATATCAACAAACAAAAATATAAATAATATACAAAAAAGTGTTTACTAATGTATACGTAATGAAAACACGATCGATAAGAGATCGTTTACCTATAAAGAACAATTTGTATGAGATACCATTAGGCTGTGAAAATGTCAGAAAATATATTTTCTTTAATACGTGAATCATCGTCTTTTTTATTTCATTTCATTAGTTTAAGTTTACATTATTCGTGACATTTATCTTAATGCAATTATCGTATGAATACCTGGATTGTAAATGTTGCGAATCTGTAAAGCAGATCTTAATGCTGTATATCTTGTTATTTATGGCGATTACTACCATCGAAATTGAATATCACGGCTAATCGAAATCCCTCTGAAAAAATTTTTCTTTTTTTTTTCCCTAAACATTGCCATTTCGCTAACCTCGCTCGGATACGGCACGCAACTTTAAATATATATATAATATGTGTATATGTATATCTAATCTATACGTAATGAATGACTCATTTGAACATTAGATATCGAACGATAAGTACATACAATAGAAAAACAATCGATTACCACAGATTTCATCTCTAGTCGATACTCATCGAAATATAATAATTATTAACATCGTTCATCGACAAATGCAATTTTGGTTTTGAATTCTCATTGGATTTCTGTTAAGACTGATTTTATTTTTTTTCTTTTCTTCTTTTTTTTTTTTTTCTTTTCTGTTCGCCTCCTTCAGAAAAGAGAAGATCCCTTTCTTTGGGATTCTGCGAATTAGAATATTATAATTTTAAATCACTTGAATTGACGAGGAGGGAAAATTTCAAAAAGAAAGAAAGAAACAGGAAGAAAAGGAACCAAATGACAATTGAGAATAAAAAAAAGAAAAAAAAAAAAGAGAAAGAAACATAAAAGAAACACAAGAAAAACAAAAAAAGAGAGAGGAAAGAAAAAAAAGAATAATAATAAAAAGAAGAACGAAGAAGAAAATAAAAATGAGCATCCATTCGTAAATCGTTAATCCGAATAACAAAGAGACTACGAAAGACCTTTTTTTTTTTTTTTATTTTTCTTTCA